ATGAGTCCCTACTGAAGCCTCTGTTGGTGAGTCCACTACTGAGGCCCCTGTAGACGGGTCTACTACTGAATCTCCTGTAGACGAGTCTACTACTGAAGCACCTATGGGTGAGGCTACTACTGAAGCCCCTGCAGATGAGTTTACTACTGGAGCCCCTATAGACGAGTCCACTAGTGAAGCCCCTGTAGATGAGTCCACTACTGAGGCCCCTGTAGATGAGTCCACTAGTGAAGCCTCTGTAGATGAATCCACTACTGAGGCCCCTGTAGACGGGTCTACTACTGAAGCCTCTGTTGGTGAGTCCACTACTGAGGCCCCTGTAGACGGGTCTACTACTGAATCTCCTGTAGACGAGTCTACTACTGAAGCCTCTGTTGGTGAGTCCACTACTGAGGCCCCTGTAAACGAGTCCACAACTGAAGCTCCTGTGGATGAGTCTACAACTCCTACAGCCACCCTGACTGAGTCTATGACTACTGGAGCCTCTTCAATGGTGTCCACCACTGAATCCTCTATGATGGAGGCTACTAGCACTGGAGCTCCGGTAGTTACCAGTGCGCCTCCGATTGGCGACTTCACTGATGTTCCTCCCATCCTCCCATAAGGCAGCACTGCATAAGACAGAGCTTTATGTTTGAGGATTGATTATTTTTGTATAAAGCTCTCATGACTACTCCACTGGTGAGATGTTGTTCAGAAACCTCCATGAATGGAATGAAGCATCATCTATAAGCATCGCCGTGTTGTGTAGACGTTAATGTTTTGGTGAGTCGAGCGGTGCATTTACTTGCACTGCAGACGCGATGTGAATTATCATATCCGATGACCAGAGTCTAATGCGCTGCTAACAACAAGATCTGTTGGTGTAGTAGACGATGTCAGCGATTCTTAATAGCTATTGTAATTACTCTCGAGTAAGCGCGAAGCGTGGGTGTCCCATTATTTTCAAATATGCTGCACACATGCTGCTGACTGATGTTGGGAAAATGATGAATCTAATCGACGGCATTGGATAGACAGCAATAACTTTTGAGAGTTCCCCACACATTATGGAAAATGTTGATACATTGCACATCTGTCGAAGCTCAAGCTTCCTTTAGCTTGGGCGACAAGAAAATGGTTTTTCTTACTAGCCAGGTTAAGGCGGAAGAATGTTAAGTCTAGCCGCTGGGTGAACCAACCAGTTTGCTTACTTGGAGACGCAGTTCAAACCGAAGTTG